AATAAAATAATATAAGGGTTGTTTGGTGTTTTAGAAATGCCTAATCAAATATTCCATGTGCCAGGGGCAAAATGCTGGAATCTAAAAGTTGGAAGGGTCAGTGTCAGAAGAAAGTTTGGGGAGCAAAGTGCCACTATCCCTAGTATGGTGACTATTTGTAATTACCCTCGATTTTAAAGGGATCAAGGCACAAGTGGAAGAGGAGTATTCTCACACCTGTTATATGATTATACCACTCGATAGTATTAATAAGAAACAATTAATAGCTAATTAAAATTTACCTTTTTTAAGTATTAAAGAGATTCATATTGGTCTCCTAATGCATATCCAAGTAGAAAAAGGTGTCAAAGCAAACTTGATAAGAGTTGAATTGCCTGAAGTAAATGATTTATCGACTACTTGTCTTCGTCAACCATTATCAAACGCCATTTGGGAGGACTGAGTTGAATATTCAACTAAGCTTATTCAGCCGTTTTGAAATGCTCCAGATAAGCTTCTAAAGAGACTGAATCGGACAACCCTTCAAATGACTTGCAGCAAATTTGAGCTCTCTCGGTTTTTCATTAAACATAGTTTAAGGCTTGTCTATGTAAGCATACCTTGGGCACTCTGGATGAGCTGGAGACAAAATAATACACACCGGGCAGGACTAGCTATCGCAATTGAACACACCAGTGTTCAATGTAGGCTCCATCTGGGCCCCATTTATACTGAATGCTGGCGTGTTCAATCGTGATAAATAATCCAACCTAGTGTGCAAGATTTTGTCTCCAGCCAATCCAAGCTCTATCTTGAGAGGTTGTGCTTCAGCCGAGATCACATCTCCGCCCCACAACGTCCTACAATACATCCCCACCGTATATTGGGAACATCTCCCAATGATGATATGTATTGAGAACATCTCCCTATGATAATATCGGACTCAATGATGTCATCATTGAAATACATGGTGGGTATGTGCTGTGGGATGTTGTGGGGCGGCCCCTTGTGGGGAGGGGATGTAAACTCTCTTCAGCCCTCCCAAACGGGCATATAACTTTAACTGTCCACGCAGGGCTCACCTTGGATAGAAAGAAGCGGCTGCGCTTCAGCCCTCCCAGACTGGCACTCATTAGCAAAAGTGAGTGCGAGGTGAAGGTTTGAAATATCTACACAAAATGTAAACTCCAATTGGTGGTCCACGTCCAGTAAGTAGACTATAATGTCTTGTTTCATGGAAATTGTTAAGTATGTATTTCTTCCTGTTTAAACTTTATCTGGTCATTGAGGCCGTAGATGAAATGACGGAACTTTTGCAATGACGGAACTGAATGGTCTGTTGCTTTGTCTTTTGAATAAGTTTTTAAGATGATTGAAGCTGAAATTGGGTTGATCATTATATTTTTATTAATTAAATTTATTTAAATATTTTATCCACTAAAAGACAAATAATAGGTAATTCAATTTAATTTAGCCACTTCAGCCATGATCAAAAGGGCCCCTATAGCTTTAGTGTATATTCATGATATCTCAAAAGAAAAAGAAAAAAAAAAAACTCTTTGCACTGGGCTTAATTTTATACTGGAAAAAAAAGAAAAACATTGGGCTTAACCCGTTATATGTACAAAGACATGTTCGTTTTTGGTTAAGTGAAGAAGGGGAAAGTTGGTTAATGAGATTTCACAATATCATTGACTAATTTATCCACGTTCGGGTTTCAAGAATAAGTGAGACCTACGGTAAATTTCATTTTCCCGGGTATCACTTACCCGGGTAAATGGTACCCTTCTCATAATCGGGTAAGTTTGGTTTCCCGAGTGAAACGTAAATGAAAAAAAAGGTTAAAATGTCAAAATTGCCCCCACAACATATAAGCATTCGAGAGCCTTTCCGCTTCTAGCGTTCCTTCTCCCAAAAATCACTGTTGCCTGCTGTGGAAGAGTGTCTCCCTCATGTTCACCGTTCTTCTGTCACCAGTGATGATACTCTCACTTGTTGCCGCTGCTCCACCAAGTGACAGTCATTGTTAATATTTTTTTTTTCATCCATTGAAACGGTAAGGAGTTAAAGAGGGTAAATCGCACCATTTTTCTTTTTCATAGGGTTTCTTCTTCTACATTTATAATTGCTGTTAATCCCTTTTTATTACCTTCTCACCACTACAAGAATTCTGTGATTTGTTTTGTATTGCAAATGATTATTTCACAGAATCGGTGTTTGCCAATTGCCATTCTCGTCATCTTGCTAGATAAATTGCGGAATGGAGGGATATTGTTTCTATTGATTTTAAATTATAATTTACACCATTACGTTCTTAAGGTTTTTATTAATTTTGTTAAAGAGGTCTACATTCATTTTCATATTCTAAGCAAAATTTTGTTTGAAAATTCTTGAGATACAAGCCCATGCAATTACTTTTTTTTCTTGTAGTTATTCTTTTGCATGTCTATTTCTCAGACCGTTTTCCTGATTTGTTACCATATTGCAATGGAATTAGAAGTTGTCTTTTCGTTTCGTGGATTATACTGTTATCTATAATGGAATAGATCGTCAGAAATCGTTGTGGTTTCCCCACCAAAATATTTTTGCCTTGTTAGCCCCCATGGTCCTCTCTGTTTGATGTTTAATAAAATTCCAGCTGTCAATCCCAAAGAAAAGTTACATGAAACATCAAGGGAAAGTAAAACTTTTCAGGCCTTAACCTAAAATGGGTTGCCTCAATGTGTCGAACAGACATTAAATTGGGGTCCCGGTTCATGTTCCAAACTTCAAATTTTGGTTGCATTAAGTTTCAGTTCTATCCATAATTTCAGTGCATGTATGAGGGCATATACAAGGATCAACCATTAATTTCAATTCAAGGCTTTGTTATCTTGTGAGAGTGTTGTTTGTGGAAAATATAAAGGTTTAAACTTTGCCTAGCAACTATTTGTTGTTGTTGTCATCTTGAGAGATTTTGTAGCTGGACCATCTGCAGGTAAGGCTTTATCTTCAGCTGACCTACTGGCTAAAATCTGAGAAACCAAGAAAAAGCAATCAGTGATGGTTTGAAAACATCAATTTGGTTTGGTCTTTGGTTCTAGTAACAACACAGAACATTTGGTAGGTAGTGGGCCTTCTAGTTTTAGACCATCTAGCAAGCTTGCTGCAGTGCAACCTGAGATATCGATATGCCAGATATGTACATTTATACAACAAAGAGTTAAATGGCTCATCTGCTATTATTTTCGTCATTGCACCTGCTTATTTTGAAACATTGAACATAGACACTCTTAGTTTCACTTCTGCATAGAGTTAAATGCTCTTCAGGTTTCTAATTTTGAGTTCATTAGATACTTAAAATTTAGCTAGATCAAATTCACTTATCTATGATTAAGAATTAAAACATAATCTCAAAAAATACCTATGCTCTTAAAATTTGGCCAGATGAAATTCACTTAAAATTTGATCAATACCTATGCTCTCATTTTTGTATTCTGTACCCATATATAATCTAAAAAAAAATAATAATTAAAACATAAAAGGACCTTGTTACACTTTCAGAGCTAGATGATTAAGATTTGTCTTATAAGTCTTTGCCAGCAGTTACTTGTAGAATGTCAGGTTGCAAGTATATGGTTAAAACCTTGCTAATAGTCCCATCTTAGTAGAGTATTAAGTTAGTTAGCCATTTAAAAGATGGTTAAAACCTTGTGAGTCTTCTTCATGTTTGGTTGTGACAGAGGTTCTCAAATATTGAGCAATATTGATGCACCTGGAAATAGGAAAAATTAGATATGTAAATGATGATGATAGGGCACTATTAAAGGTGTGTTATTCCATATTATTAATTTACAAAATCAGAACTTGTACTTTTTTTAGCTTCTAATTTTTGGAAGGCCAATGTTATGGCCAAATATTAAGTGTTTTCTTCAATTCTTCTTTTTCTTTTTCTTTGGGTGGTTATGCGAGTAATATGATTAGTAACAATTACTTGTCAAAGACTTGTTTGGAACTCAGGCTTTTGTATAAAATATGACCTTTCCAAATATACTGTTGGTTTGTTAGTTGCTAATTTGATTAAGATTTATTTAGAAAGTATGTTATGTAATCAAAACATACGCTTTACGTTAATCTTTCTGTGAATCAGATCATGGTCTGGATCTACTTAGTCAAATATGGATATCAATAATACATCTGTTTGATCTATTGATTTGAGTCCAAATGCACTCAAATTTATTTGATAGAAACCAGATATGACAATCTTACCATAAAGATATCTGAATGTATTTTACATATTTTTTTAGTAGAATTGTTTCAAGAACTGTCTTTTTGTAAAGTAGCAAGGCAAAGATTTGTGAAAGTCTTTTTAGTTCATTTGTTAAGAATTCGTGATGTCTTAATCCAATTTGGAATTTGATTAACCGAGTTCAAGTTGGATACTGATATCCTAGATATGCAATTGAATAGCATAATCTTTCTTTATCTGTTCTTGTTGTGTTTCTATTTTCCTGATTTATTATGTTGGGATTTTTTGAGATTTGGTTCTTTGAATGAAGGTAAGTAATGATTGTTAAGGAAGGAGAATAATTCAACAAATCATATCAACGTGTTAAAGGATTATGTGAAATTAGAACTATTTGTTATAGAATATCAAAGCTTTAAAGGGCATTACTGAAACCAAACTGTGTATGAAACAATACTTATGGAACTGCAAATCTGGAAGAGTTGCTACTGTGAGACTAATATCTGTTTGTTATTTGTTGCTGATTTATGGGTCAGTGACCGTGAGCATCCTTTCTCTAGCAGTCTTTTTAGTGGTTGTTTACATAAGGAGCTTAATATGGGACTTCTCTTCTGAAGTACTTATTCGTCTGTTTGTTAGACAATTGGACGGCCATTGTTAATTGTTTTATTTTCTAGCATTTTTTGGACTAGTTATGCTATTGAGGCAAAAAGTCATAAAAAAACATGGATTTGGTCCCAAAGGGTAAAATTGGCAAGAGATGAACAAAAATTACCAACTTACCCAGGAAAGTGGATGTTGCAAAAAAACATGGGAAAGTAAAGAATCTCATTTACCTCAGTAAATTAAACAGAAAAAGAACATGGGTAAATGCACTTATCCAGGTAAGTATTCCTTGGGTAAGTGCATTTACCCAGGTAAATGTGTTTCCAAAATAAGAACAGAGCCTAATTGATGTTGGAAGAGCTCATGACTGAGTCTTCATTAAATCAGTGGGATTTCAATCCAATCCCACTAATTGGTGTCCTTTCCATTCTGTACTTGTTTATCCTTATAATCGCCCTCTTCATGGGAAAAGTGGGATTTCAATCCAATCCAGCATTGGTAATATTCACGATCAATGTGGGGAGACTCAAGAGCCCATGGACAGACTCGAGGGATCAGACACGATTCAAACATGAAAGCCATGGTATTAGCTATTCTGAATGGCCCTGCATCATTTCCACGGGCCACTGTTGCCTGTCATCGTACAGATAAATTTGTCATTCAAAGCAGAGAGCAAGTTATCCTATAAACAATTCATTCTGATTGAAAACAAGTATCTACCTCAAATGTCTTGGTATCAGGACCATGGGGGGTCATGCAGCAATGAAGACTTGCACCTCCAGGGAGAAACCCATCAGCTTTTGCCTTGTAATTATGTCAACAAGTATCTTGGTGAAATGTACCAAACAAACAAAGAAAAGATAACTTTGATCCCATTTTGAGCATGAACAAGCAATAGCATCTAATCAAAATTGAGAATTCATGCACGTTTTGAGCATAAACATGAAATTGCATGTCTAGATGTTGAAGATCTTATCATATATGAGAATACATGTACTGGGAAAGCAGGTAGCAAAGACAGAGCTCTATGCCTTCCAAACTGCCCATGTCTATACTCTTTTTTAACTTACAGAAAGAGAGTAAAAAAAAAATCATGCCATGGTAAATAATTACCTCATATCCACCATAAATTAGGCCCATAAATTCACTCATACAATTTCGATGATAATATGGAGGTCGAAAAGTGTGCTCAGCAACTAACCATCGAGGAGGAAAGATGACAAAGTCAAGCAATGCAACACCAGGCTTATCAGAGGGCACTGTTAATACTGCAATATAATTGTATAAAAAAAGGAAAATTTAGACACAATGTTTATGAACAATTAGATTCTTTCCTACCCTCTATAGGAAAACAGAATAGGAAAAGATATTGCAGAATTCACACACCTGTATTTATTGATGGATCACCATGATCAATTAAAACAGTATTGAATGGGCAAAACTTACTTAGATCATACTGCAAGTAAATGATATTTTTCATAAATTAGGTATGAGATATGCATTTACAACATTCATTCCAAGTGCTTCACAATTTGATGCCAAAGGGAATAACCGATGTTACAAGAAACTCATCCTTTTATCTCTATTGGCACATACCTTATATGGTACATAATTACCATGCCAGGCAACCACATTGAATGGAGAAAAATCTTGTATGGCAGTGAACAGTTCACCACCAAACTTTTGTACAATGGTATACCCTGGACAGAATTTTTGTTCAAACCAAGCTGTAGGGGCAAGAAAGTCCCGTGGAGCAGCAAGGCCATTAGCACCTATACAATATCCAAAGATAGTTTGATCAGGATAGCATTTTACAAGCCCAGTAAATTGTATTGCATACAAAACTAGATTAGACAATGTTTAATGGAATTTTCATTCAAAACTGAATAACAGAATACAATACCTATAGGCCCAAGATCAGGAAGCTGGAAATGTGCACCAAAAACCTCAGCAACATATCCACGAGATGGACCATCTGGCAGGTTGACAGCAAAACGAAACCCTTGAGGTATAACAATTATTTCACCAGGAGATATTTGCAACCTTCCACATTCAGTTGCAATCCACAGCCCTGTAGAATGGAGAAAGCATTTAAGAGAGAAATAATCTAGAGCAAACCAGAAAAGTAGATAGTTCCAAAGAATCTGCCAAGGAAAAAAGTGCATAGAGACAAATATGTTTTTTTAAAGAATATCTGAAGAGCTTTATTAAATGATTATGAAAAAGGACTGGGGGGCATGTAACCTGACCCTCAAAGCTATACAAGGAGCAAAACTCTCTAATTTCTGGCTTATAACCAGGAACAAAGATTCTTAAGAAGAATAATATGGGTGAAAACCCTTGTTTTCTCTTGACGATCCCTGGACTACTTCTAATTGATTACTGGGTGCCATTTCCCAGTCCTCCTTAGACTTACGGTTCTTCTTCTTCTTTTTTTTTTTTTATTTCTCAACCATCATCCATTCTTGATTTGGGAAATCATTTTTCTTGGATGTAACATCCTTGGTAGGTCTCTCAGCAATATGATTTTCCTTGCAGAAGTGGCTACACATTTAGAATTCGTTGTTTATTTCACCTTAGTCGCATACTGTATTTCTTGATTTGGTTACCACACTTTGTTGATACCTCTTGCATTCCTGTTCCTTGATTCCTAATCGTAGGGGTGAATTCGAGCCGAATATCTAATTATTTGAGCTTGACTTGCAAAATATTCATGAGGCTCAAGCTCAAGCTCAAGTTCAAGCCCAATTCGAGCTAGAGATTTGAGCTTGAATTTGGCTTGGCTCAAAAGCTCGTATGCTCAAGCTTGGCTTGACTTGAGCTCGAATGTGAGCCAAATTTCCTATAAACAATAAAAATTATACATATAAAAAATTATTTTTTTAATTATACATACAAATATTTAAGAATTACGAAAATAATTTATTATCATACTTATAAAAAATCAGGAATGCCTTGATTCCCAACTAGCATGATAGATGATTCCCAACTCAGTTCAAAATCAGGAACCCACTTCATCAAGTGAAACAAGAATGCCTTGATTCTAAAAGCCTCCTCTAACCATATCTTCAAATAGTCGTTTTCATTCGAGAACCAGATTAGGATGTGCTTTGAATCTATAGAAGTAACCCAAATTCTCAAGCCGTCACTAAAGAGTAGGGTTTCTCATCCTTTCTTTAGCTTATGCTCATGATGATCCAGAATGGATTATTAACTATGTCCAAACTCATATTACTAACAACCCCCATAGAGACAGATGTGCACTAGAAAGATAACATCAGAATATTGCACAAATACAATTAAATCCCTAGGACATTCCAGCTAAATAATATGCTACTTGATATCATAGATCACTCAGAAGCTATTCTTGAAAAGATCCAGAAAATTGAGTAGCAGTACTTAGTAAGGAGAAGAATTTGAAAGAAGTGGCCAGGAGCATGAATATGATTATGATTGTAGTGCAGCACAATGGTAGAAGGTCCTTGTTCTGGAGTTTACCATAAGGCATCTTTTATGCATTATGCTCCTGAAAATCAATGGCCACCCTTACCATTTCCATCCAGTATGGGAATATCATCGTACATCTAAATATTGTCAAAATGAGCAAAGGTTCAAGTCAAATGCATTTGCAGAAGAGGACTCAGAGGAATGCTAGTAAACAATGCATTGTGCAACTTAATGAATTATTTGCTCCACAGACATGGTGGGACACACGAAAAGACAAATTGTGGTACAAATTTGGACATGTTTTTGTGGGTCCCACCTCGTCTGCAGGGCAAATAATTCAGCACATGGCACCCTGTTCTTGGCATTAGCTTTGGCCTTTGAGAACCAAGGAAAATTGATAGTATGCAACTTGAGTAACAAAAAAGAGACAGGAGAGAGATCTCAGGGTTAGGCTAATAGCATTATATGCTTCCAACCTAGTATTCTATATCAACACTTTTATTGGCATGTACACCTGCCTCAAAAGTTCAGAAACCATCAGCTTTTGATGGACATGCTCTTGCAACAAGTATCATGTTTGGAGGATATTTGCAACACAGATCCTATACCTATTATTATGTTTTATGAAATTTAATGACTATAAACAGCAAAGCCTAAATATGTTAAAGAGATTCAGAACATCAGCAGACGAAAGCCCATTCTCCAAACCAGAGAAGATAATGTGGAGGTTGAAACAAACCACTGAGGAATCGAGTACAAAAGGATACATGACAGCCACTTACTTCCTTTCTGAGGCACTATCAACAAGTCACCATCAGCATTGCAAAGAGCACAATTATCCATTGATTTGTTGGCAGTGTACCTAAATGCAAACAAAATTCTTCTGCTATTCAAAATGCATAATTATGATTTACAGTTTGAACTCAATGATGATTGCAAATATCAAATTAGCATTTCTATTTCTAATCCAGCATCTAATGCTTTAAAGCATCTTCAGTCCCACTAGCAAAAGTTTTCTACATATATAACAAAGGAAATTAAAAGATTGCCAAATTACAATCACTTGTAGTTATAATTATTCATCTTTATGAGAAAATTGAAGTCTAGCTTGAAAACAGAGACCTTGTGAAGTTATTCTTCTCAAGCATGGATAGAAGAACATATGTCTTCCTGTACATTACTCTTCTCAATTCTCTTGGAATTATTTTTGCTTTTCTGCCTGCCAAATCCAATCCTACAATTCCATTTCCACCATGATCCAAAAGCAGTCCAATGGATATATCTCTTTGCTTCTAGGCCTTGTAAAAGAACTATTAGTCTTCCCCACTGTTTATAAGAGTATTAGCTTAGCCTAAAGTTCTTTCCTAATTCATAAGGAAATCACAAAATCAAAGAAACACTTAAAACATTAGATGAGAATTCACTACTTATTCTATCTCAATAGGGCTGCAAGTGGATTTGATATTGATTGGATCCATTTAATCTGAACCTGTGTACCTGATCTCAATTGGATCTGTTGGATCTGATTAGATTCAAGTGTGTGTATATATATATATATGTTTTTTTTAGTAAGTGTGTGTATTTGTATATATAGACGTATCCAATATATACTTATATGGAAGGTTCATAATATCGATACACATGATACCAAAAAATTTTGTTAGCCTGATTGGTGAAATACAGGCTACTGAGGATGTCTTCTACAATCTGAAACATCCAAAACCTGCACACTCCTATTATTTCATGTCTTGGTGATCTTCAAAACTTACGGGGGTGTTCTTCAATGTGAATTGTTTCTTGTTGCGAGTTCCAAAAACAAATCAAAACCAACTGGTTTGAAAACAAATTGGTCCTTGCAAACAAAAACACAGAAAACATGTCCTTGGTTATATATCAAAACGTATTGAAAGTGAATATCCTGATGTTTAATGGAATCAAATTCGGAGATACCCACTGTGTTATGGGCCCGGGAATAGGATCTCGTCACGGGTCGTTCCACGGGGAAAACCTCCTGTTTTCCCTTGTTCCTCCCTGCTCTTGATGAACCTATCTTGGCGCCTTAATGGTGATTTGTCCAAGAGATCACCTAACTCTCCTTGCTCTC